ACAACAAGAATAATAATAGTATTGGGAGGAGTAATAGTTTGAAAGGTTCAATATCAACAACACAGGAGAAGTCATCTAATCAAGTTGATGAACAAGAATGGGTTAAATTTCAAAAACTTATAAGCAAAGAAACTCAATTAAGTGATCAAATAGCTAATGCAGATGATGAAGAATTACAAAAAGATAGAGATGAGATGCAAGAAAGAGAACAAGAAGGTTTTATTAAAAGGTTAGAACGATTAAAAGAGTTTGCTAATAATGTTCGTAAATCCCGTGAAAGTAAAATGATGATTACTACAAAATCGAAAAATCAAAATGTTGATGAGGACGTGGACGTGGGTGAAGAAGAAGATGATAAGGATGAAGTATATGAGGATGAATGGATGGATTGGAGAGCACAAAAGGTTTTATAAATGGAAATAGAAATAGAAATTAAATTTACAAATTTGTCAAAAGCTAGTTTTTAATAGAAAAATCTGATTCTTTGATGAATCATTATAATAATTATTATTTTTCAGCATTAAAAATATAAATTTATTATTTAATATATATACAATTCACCTATTAAAATTAATAAAAAACCAATAATATAGTGATCATCGACTTTACATTCATAAATAAATAATATCTTTGTCAAGAATTGAGAATCTTTTTTGATTTGTTATCATCATCTTTTCCTTTTTCATTATCCATATTTTGATTTCAAACCTATCTCTATGGGAAAGACAAAATCAAACATTTTTTAAACTGGTAATAGCTATTTTTGTTATAGCTAACAAGTAGATTAAACAAATTAATCCAAATCAGAGTAAGTCTTGATTCTCAAAAATTGATATCCATCAACCATATCAATGATGGTAAAGCTACCTTCATGAAGTTAGGTTTAGAAGTTAATAAATGTGTATATGATTTATAATCTTCTGATGACGAATGCGATTCGTCTTTGAGTAATGCCAGTTGTTTAATTTTATGCATGCAAAAAGATATATATATTATCGTTTTTTTTATTTTTTTTTTTATTCTTTTGATTTAATTACAAGACATATACACTGAATACAATTTTTTTATTACTGTACACAGATGTT